GTAGCAAGACGTGCAAGTCACCAAGCAAGCCAAAGATGAAGACGGTAGATAAACACAAAGGGAGGTAGGAACCAAGGACGTCCCACTGACCCTCTTGACCGAACAACCATCCAGCCAACACGGACGAGAAAATGAGAACAGCCGAACAACTTGCCGCCACAAACAAAGAAGAACGCGGCTGCGAAGTGGCTATGGAAACGGCAGATTGATGGTCCTCGCGGGTCTCATCACACAGGCTAATGTGAATCAATCGAGAAAACAAGACTTGCTCTTGTAGAACATGGCCGAGCGAGGATCAGGTTTGGTAGTAGTGGCAGAAACCCATAGGATTCCAGATCATTCAAGCTGGATCGGAGACACACTGGGCTCCGTCGCGCTGGTCAGGACGAAGATCAACGCCTCTATCTTCCGAGAGGTCGAAAGAGGGGGTGGCTATGTGGTGGCACGATGGAGCGGTTTAACTATCGCCGGGATATAAGCCCCTCTGAACGCGACATTGTCGTCGCTCCAGACACTGTTGAAGAGCCTGCGTGACTGTGTCGCGCGGCGTCTACCGCAGCAGATATTGGTCTTAGGAGACTTCAACGCAAATTCCACGATTTGGGGCTCCACTCAGAACAATTCAAGAGGAGACTCAGTGAACTGGATAGCAGGGCTCCTACTGAACACAGGCAGAGTGAGTACCTGCGTCCGCTGGCATGGCAGAGGGAATCAATACTCGATCGTGGGTTTCCCACACAGCAGTGCCCTGAGAAGCGGAGTGGAGAGAGGCGGTGGAGATCGTCATCGAACCGTCACCTTCTAAATCGTCATCAACATCCACTCCGCCCGAAGAAGAGGCATTAGCAACCGTCAGCAACAGGAAGATCCGTCGACTGCAAGATGGGCGTCAAAGAAATTCGACAAGCACATGCTGATGGTCGTAGTATGGGCGGAGCCAGCGAAGGACCCCGTCAGAATAAACTACCCGAGGGAGACTGCGGTTAGGTTCTAGGTTAGGTTTAGGCAAAGTCGAGGA